GGATTTTATTGATAACGATAATTAGATGATATTTTGCTGAGTGTTATTGTGCTGATATCTTGAGGACAACCGTGGACAGCTGACTCCTAAAGTTTTTGATATTCTTCATATTCTGTGTGATGATCAGTTCACAGCAGTGATAGAAATTAATCTTTTCCAATAAGTTTAAATTGATTTTTACCTTTTATGGGCATTTTTACCTTTATAAAGACATTTCTAAAGTGCGCATCATCTTTTCAGTCAAATTCTTAAATTGAATCAGTCAGTTATAATAATAAGTCATTTGGGCTGTTACCAAGCAAATGAAGTCTATGAAATGAATGAAATGAAAATTAAATTAATCTTTGCAATGCAGAGAAAACACAGAAGCTGCATTAGAAGGGGCATTTAGATGCATTTACACTCTGTTTAAAGCAGGACATGAATGTATTTACTGCAGTTACAAATGCATTAATACTGTTTTGATATTTTAAACATAAAACGTTGAATACTGATATTTGAAATTATTTTAAAAAATTGAAAATACTTTAAATGTGAAATTAAATCCACCAGTAGGTGGCAGCAAGTCACTATTAATAAGTGAATCATTGCGATTGACCCGAATAATTTAAACGGTTGATTCATTCAGGAACGAAACAGCGTCATGTTGCTCAGAGTTGCAAATTGGAATTATTTGTTGGCGAAATAGAGCAAAAACAGTCAATATTGTGTCTTAAACGTAAGTGTCTTAATATTAAATTCTTGTTTATTGAACTGCTTTATAAAATCAATATCACATTTGTAATTATGCTGCTTTTTGGTGGAAAAAACGTCAGTCTTCGCGTGATGATTAACTATATGAAATGATATAAATATATACATTTCTGCCCCCATATCTTGAATTTTGTGATCATTGTAAATGCATTTTAATAAACTGAATCATGCAGTGAAAGAACCTGCTAGACTTCCTATTGCCTTAGCTAAACTTTAGCTAACTTACATGGTAGCTTTTTTTTACATGGTAGCAGCAAGACAAATAAACTATAATTGCCTTTTGGATAATTAGCTGTAAATTCGAGGCACAGGTAGCTTAGTCTTTTGTTCATCACTCACCTCCACCACACCAAGACAAACACAAATGGAAAGGGAGGGAGGGCTTCACTTCTGCTTCTCTCTGCCTGTCAGTGACATGCAGCTGATCAGTGTGTGCTACACTGCTGTGCTGCGCGGAGACGCGGAGGGAGAAAGGCATTGACACCATTTCCCGACCCGACCTGATATTTTGATTTTTAATTTGTTTGACAGGGAAAGCTGTTCGCAAACAGAAACACACACACACACATATACATATATTCATTTATAAAAATAAAAAAAACACACACACACTCCCCAGAAAAAAGGGCACTTTCTCTCGAGGAAGAAAAAGGGCAGGTGTTCAAGCCCCCTGTGATGTCTATGTGTGCACGTGTCTGTCTG